CTCAGCGGCTGCTCAGCTCGGGCTGGACTCGAACCGCTGTTGCTCAGAGCTCAAACTCTTGAGCGAGCTCTTAACCAACTGAGCCACTCGGCCAGCCCGGTAAACCCATTTTTTCATTTTTTTCCACTTATACTTTTCACACTCAAGGCCCAAGAGGTAGTTGAAATGTCACTTGTGCTGTGAAGTCATCTTTGACTCCTCCTTTCCTTCCCAGTTATTTCTAGGTTTATATCCCTATGGGATTTTATAGCATCTGTCTTTATTTATTTAATTATTTAAGATTTTTATTGGGGGGGGCCGGCCGAATGGCGCGATGGTTAAGAACTGGCTTGGGATGCCAGAGGGCCCCGGTTTGGATCCCACATATGAGGGCCAGTGACGCTGCCCTCCACGGCTAAGATGCTGAACAACAGCTCGACCTGGAGCTGGGCTGCCGTGAGTCGCCGGCAACGGCATAGGCTGCAGCCACTGTGGCAGTGGGTTGCCATGGGCTACCGCATGTAGCCGGCAGCCAGCGTGAGCGGCCAGCAGCCACCGTGAGCAGCCATCCAGAAGCCGGCGACTGATCTGCCTCATCCTCCACAACTAGACTGAAGAACAAAAGGACAGCAACTTGTCTGTTCCCCTCCCCCAATTCCCCAATAAAATCTTTAAAAAACTAAAAATTTTTTTTAAACCTGATACTTTTTTTTTTTTTAGCTGAGCCATCCTGCCACTTGTTGGCAGCTCAGCGGCAGCTCAGCTCAGGCCGGAACTCAAACTGCTGTTGCTCAGAGCTCGCATTCTTGAGTGAGTTCTTAACCAACTGAGCCACTTGGCCAGCCCACAACTGATACATTTTAAAGGGTCTGCGGAAGGGCAACAGAAGTAGTAGAATGTGCTGGGCCCAACCAAGGTAATGGCACAGGTGAACAGAGACAAGGAGAAACAGCTTTATTTGGACTGAGAGTTGGAGAATGAGGGGAGGACCTGAGATAGCATACTGAGCTAAGGAGTGGAGGTTAGATTCCAAAATGGCAATCAGAACTCATCAACAAATGGACTCCGCTTCCCAGCTGCCTTAGAGTTAGTGCAATCAATAAAAGGCCGGTTGGGAAATGTATTTGCCACTAAATCACCCAAGTGTGCCACAATTACAAAAAAGGTACAGGTTTTTGTTTGTTTTTTCCATAATTAAGTTTCCATAAAACCTCCCCAACCACAAGTACTATAAAAGTTAAAAAAAATCACATGTTATAGTTCTTAGACTTGTCTTCAGCATTTAGCTCAAAGATGGTGAGCCATCTTCAAAATACAGTTCTCCTGCAAAACTCATCAGCTAAAAGCTCTATCCAAAACCTTTGCTAGCCCATAGCAATTCTTTTCCCATTTTCCCTAGCCGGTTAGGGCTGAATAGAAGAGTGAAGCTCAGATTAGGGGAGGGTGGGTAGAGAGACTTAAGGGCTAATTTCCCCCAGTGCAAGATGGCATCTGAAGCTTGATGGGAGAGCAGAACTGGAGAGACTTGAGGGAGGGGTCCAGGCCCTGTATTCAGTCAGAGTCACTGCTGGAAGAGGAGGAGGAGGAATGCTGCAAGGGGAAAGGGGAAAGGAGACAGCATCAGATCCAAATGACCTTCAATCACTCTATCGGGCATTCTTTGGAGCCCTACCCCTCCACCCAAGTACCTAAAAAGGACAGCAGTCTTGAATCAGACTGTCCCTTAAACAGCAAAAGCAAGAATTTCCTTCAGCAGTGAGCATACGGGAATGGATTAAACCATCCTAACTCATTGCACAGAATTTAATATACTGCATTTGGAGCAAGTTTCCAACTTTCTTTACCAGAGCCAATGCCTAGGCAAGGAATAAATTCTAGGCACAAGTATAGTATGGTGCTAGAAAACAGCTGATACCTTATAAACCTTTATTGATTACATGCATAGAAAGTTCCTAGTGGCTCTGGATCTAAGAACAGTGAGTAGAAACAGCAGTTGTGTGTACATCTGTCTCTACTTTTTCCTAAGCCCCATTTGGGAGAAAGTGAAGAAGATGGGAGAGAAAGCTAAGAGACCCCTAGTCAAGGTTCTCCCATCAACAACTGTCAAGAACTGGGCCGGCCAAGTGGCTCAGTTGGTTAAGAGCTCGCTCAAGAGTTTGAGCTCTGAGCAACAGCGGTTTGAGTCCCAGCCCGAGCTGAGCAGCCGCTGAGCTGCCAACAGGTGGCAGGAGGAAAAAAAAAAAAAAAACAACTGTCAACAACTAAAAACATTTTTTAGTCTCTCCAGGGTAATTTCTCCCCCATTCAATCTCACCTTTCCTTCTCCTCATACTTCTACCAAAGATCCAGAACCAGGAATTAGAGCCCAAAGCCACATGGCAAATAAATACTAGACAGGAAAATTTAGATTAAGGCCTCCTCAGGTACAGGTTTGTTCAATACTTGCTGAGTTGTCCTGGGCGTTACCTTTACCTTTCCTAATTAACACTCCTCTAGAATGAGGCCTTAGGGCTGAGCATGAAACCTAGGTTTTGTTTGAGGCTGAGAATCACTGACTGCTCTTATCCTCAATTTCCCTACGGGCTGGTAGGACAAAACGGCCCATGTAGTTAACACAACACCCTGAAGGAGAGAAAGGAAGTCCAGGAACTAGGGCCCGATTATTACCTGTTAATTATTATGTAAGACTTTGTTCTGTCAAAGGACTGACCCTATTAATGGATATTTTGACCACATCAATGGGTATGTCCAACTCACTAAAATATGCATCTGGGAGTGGGGGAGAAAGGAAAAAATTCTGGGAGAGAGAAAAGCAAACAAGAATGGTTTTCGAGTCTGATATTCATTCTAAGGCTCAGCATAATCCCTCCGAGATAGAAGGCCCAATTAGCCTAATATTTCTCTTCAAGATGATCCGATTCTTCCCAATAGGAATCCTTTACAAAGAGGAATAACAGTCTACCAGAGCCCCATGTCCTCAGACTGTGAATCCCCCTTGCCTATCCCGCCTGCCTAGTCTCTCTGAGGGGTCACCCCTTCCTAACCAGGATCCAGAGGGCACTGACCTTGCCATGCTTGTGGTGTTTGTGCATCTTTTTATGAGCTTTCTTCATTTTCTTCCGCATCTTCTTGTCCATCACCATTCCTGGTCCTGCCATGCCAGGAGCCAAGGGATTCATAGGAGGCATACCTGGGGCAGGTGGTGGGTATGGTGGTGGGTAGGGACCTAACGGTTGGTATCCTGGATACCCTGGTTGTGGCAAAGGATGAGGGGGCCCAACTGGGGGGAAAGCTGGATTCCCCTGGGGAGCTCCTGGGGGTGTGGGAAAGGAGGCTGGAGGAAAGGCAGGGTTGACAGGCGGTGGGTGGGCAGGATTGGAACCTCCAGGGTACCCAGTATTAGGGGGATATGGATTTGGCCCTGGCTGCCCTGTTGGAAGAAGCAAAGAACAAATTAAGATTAGAACTGCCCAGAACCTCTAACAACAACAACAACAACAACAACAAGATGATTCAGTTTCTCACTCAATACTTAAAGGGAAATGGAAAGGTGAGAAAGGAGGATGGAGGATAGGGGAGAGAAACCCACACAGGAGAGAAAAAAATGTCACGTCCCTCTCAGGCTGGGGAGAGAGAGAGTGAGGAAGTGAACTCTAAGAAAAGAGGAGAGTATTGGTCAGCTATGGTCTAAGGATTTAGCTTTTGAAGGTGAGGGAAGAGGTGGAGGAAAAACACAGAAACTTCCTGTTGTGGGGCCCATTTGAAAAGGGGTTGAGGTGGGAGAAGAGTGCACCCAAACACCTACCAGCATTGGGGTTCCACATCGTCAGGTGTTTTCTCCAGCCTGAAGAGAAAGAAATGAAGGCAAGAAGCTGACGGCCCAGAGATGAGAAGGGGATTTAGTGACCAAGCCCCACCCCAAAGCCTCCCGCCCTACAATAGGCTCTGAGAACTACCACGACCTCCACATAAATGTTTCTTTCCACTCGTTCCTTCGCCCTCAATACTTATTCCTAATTCCCTAACCACAGGAACGTAGCTCCCAGGGCCGCTCCATCTCCCACTACCTCTGGCCGCGGCTGGAGGTCTCTTAACTCCTCGGGAGAGGGGCAGAATCAGCGAATCTCTCTATCCCGATCACTCATCTCCCTTTCCGTGACTGAGGACGTGACTTGAACCATCCACAGGTTAAGGAAGGATTTTAAACAACTCTACCGCTCCTCGGGGAGGAAGACAGGACCCCCACCCCAGGCTAAAAGAAGGCCCCTCCTCGAGGCGAAATCAGCAAGGTGGCTCAGGAAAGATCTTCAAAAGCTGACATATACAGACACGCCCCCTTGCACATTAAAAAGGGCATATGGAGATCCCGGCTCCCAGCTGCGAAGGGACCCCTGACCCGGGAACGGGGAAAGGAGGAAATTGGGTAACCCAGATGCCCCATCACCTTTACACCAGCACCTGGGTTGGACTCGTCCTTCTCAGTCTCCACTCTCACTTCCTGGTCACCCCAACCTTAGGCTTCGGCGCCCGCCTCTGCTGCCACTTAATTGGTGAGTATGTGTGGTCATTCGGCGTTATGATTGAAGGACATGCTCGTCAATCACCCTAGTGCTACAGTAGGGGTGGTTCCACACCCTTTAAGGAGAGGCGATTGCAGAGGAGCCGGCGGGCCGGAAATACCTGGGGGCGGGACTACGAAAGAGGCTAGCGGAGGGCGGAACCAGTTTCTGAGCAAAGTCCTGCCGGGAGGAAACTCAGCGCCTGCCGTCTGAGCTTGTCCAGTGGGTACAACACATTATAATGTGAACACCGTACACCGTGGTAAGTGTTGTAACACAGATATATACAGTGTGCTTAGGCAAGATTGGGGAGCTTCAGAGTCTCAGCTCCATGCCTCAATATTGCCACCTCCTTCCTAGCCCCCGTGGGAAATAAACATTCTTGGAGGAAGTACAGACGTTTCTTAATCTCTCCTAGGATGCCCTATGTCAATTGCATAAACCAAAAACCACCCCAGGCAAAGAGAAGAACCCTCTGCAAGGTGAAACCAGGAAGTGACTCAGGCAAGATCCTCTAATTACTTGCATGTAGAGACACGCCCCCTTGCCCATTAAAGTGGGCAAATGGAAATCCTGGCTCCCAGATGTCGAATTGCATAAATCAGAAACCAAGGAGCTCATCCTTGATGGCTCTCTCCTTCGCCTTTCCGGCCCCCGCTCCAATACCGACATGGAACCCCTGTACTTCTCTCCATCTTCCCTGCCCCCAACCTACCATCATCTCTCAACTGGATTGCTGCAATGGTCTCTCTTTTTTTTTTGTAATGAGAAGCTTGACTTAATGAACACATATTGAACCATGCGCCTAAAACTTTAAAAATACTCATTCTTCTGCTCAAGAGTGTGAGTACTGAGCAACAGGGTCGCCTGTTCAATTCCCGGCCGGAGCTGAGCTGCCAACAGGTGGCAGGATGGCTCAGCTAAAAAAAATAAAATAAAAATAAAAATAAATTAAAATACTCATTCTTCTTAAGTATACTAGAATAAAAGTTGGTCTCAATATAATTCAAATTTCAAAGAATTGTATAATACATACCATATTCTCTGACCACAAGCTAAAATATAAATACAAATATACATCTGGAAACTAAAACAAACAAACAAACAAACAAACAAACATAAAGTCTTCCAAATAACTCTGGGTCAAAGAATAAACCATGATAGAAATGAAATAACTACTTTGAACTAAGCCATAATGAAAAAAAGTACATCCCAAATTTGTGGGATAAAAAAATATGAAGAAGATAAATTTTATACTGAGTTTGTCACCTTGAACTAAAAACTTTGATAGATTTATTAAATACTTTTTATTTTGAAATATTTTTAGACTCACAAGAAGTTGCAAAAATAGTAGAATTTCTCAAGGGGAAGATACCTTCATGTAACCCTCCTAAACATGACCAAAATATTAAAAGTTTCCAAATTATCTTTTTAAATAGTAAATTCCCATGTACACTTTACCTAGCTTCCCCCAATGATAATATCTTATATAACCACAGTGAATTTTGATATGTTTTTATCAGGTTTTATCATGTTTGTGCTAAATATTTGAGATGAATTGGAACATTTCCTATTTTTTTAAGCTCTATGGCAATTTATATTTACATTATTTCTTTCTTGAAAGATGATTGAATTTGAAAGAAATTATTGATGTGTCTATGTGGGCATGATGCCTTTTAGAAGTTAATATTTCTAACTTTCGTTTTTTAAAGCAGCTTTATTGAGATAGAGTTCATATACCATATAATTCACCCATTTAGAGTGTACAATTCAACAGTTTTTAGCATATTCAGAGCATTGTTCAACCATCACCATTATCTAATTTTAGAACATTTTTGTCCCCCTAAAAAAAAGTCCTACACCCATTAGCAGTCAATCCTCACTCCTCTCTTTACCTCTCTCCTACCCCACCCAAGCCCTAATCAACCACTAATCACTGTTCTGTCTATAAATTTGCCTATTCTAGACATTTTGTATGAATGAAGAATTGTACAATATGTGGCCTTTTGTGACTTTCACTTAGTGTAATATTTTCAAGATTCATCCATCTTGTAGCATGTATCAGTACTTCATTCCTTTTTATGACGGAAGTACTGAATACTATGCCACTTAATGGATTTACCACATTTTGTTTATCCATTCATCAGTTGATGGACTTTTAATTTGTTTTAACTTTTTTGCCTCTTATGAATATTGCTACTATGAACATTCATGTACAAGTTTTTGTGTGACCATATGTTTTCAGTTCTGTTGGGTATGTATGTATGAGAGGAATTGTTGGGTCATATGGTAACTAAATTTTTGAGGAACTGCCAGACTATTTTCCAAAATAGCCACACCATTTTACATTGCCACCAACAATGGATAAGGGCTCCAATTTCTCCACATCTGCACCAACACTTGTTATTGTCTGTCTTTATTAATACAGTGTAGCCATTCTAGTGGGTATGAAATGGTGTCTCATTGTAGTTTATAATGGCCTCTTAGCACTCCTGTCTGCATCCACTCTGGCCCTCTTCCAATTCATTCTACACATTGCAACCTTGGAAATTTTTTTCCAAAGCCAAATCTGATGTCACCACACTGTTTAAAATCCTTCAATGGTTTTGCATTATCCTTAAGACAAACATCAAAACTGTTTTTACATATGTGTATTAATTTTTGTTGACTAGACAACATTAACTGAAAACCAGAAAGGATAAAGAGGTATAAAGTGAAGTCTCTCCCCCACTCTTGTTCTTCATCTACTCCACCTCCTCTAGCCTGTATAACCTCTGTAATTACTTTCTTATATATACTTCCAGTTCTTTCATTACGATCAAGCAAATACTGATATGTCCCCCCCCTTTTAAATATAAAAACAGCAAATTATGCAGAGTTTAATTTTCAGCTCCCCCACCCCACTTAATATGTCTTGGAGATATTTCCATATCAGTACATAGATATTGTCCTCAGTTGTTTTCCCAACTCTATTTTATTCTTTTGTATCATGTACCATAGTCACTGGATAGTCAGATTGTTTTCAATCTTCTGCAATTAAAAATTATGTTACGGGCTGGCCGACTGGTGCATTGGTTAAGAGCTGGCTTGGGATGCCAGAGAGCCCCGGTTCGGATCCCATATATGAGTGCCAGTGATACTGCCCTCTACAGCTAAGATGCTGAACAACAGCTCAACCTGGAGCTGGGCTGCCGGGAGTCACCAGCGACAGCTAGGCTGCAGCCCCTGCTGCAGTGGGTTGCCATGGGCTACCGTATGTAGCCAGCAGCCAGCGTGAGCAGCCAGCAGCTGCAGTGAGCGGCTGTCCAGAAATCGGCGACTGATCTGCCTTGTCAGGGAAGAGCGCAATGACGGTGCCAACTTGGGCCAGTGAAGCAACGTCCTCCACAACTAGACTGAAGAACAAAAGGACAGCAACTTGTCTGTTCCCCTTCCCCCAATTCCCCAGCGCTGTTCCCATCCCCCAATTCCCCAATAAAAATCTTTTTAAAAAAATTATGTTGCAATAAATAATCTGGTATATATGACATTTTACGTATTTTTACTTTTTATAGATATTGATGTACTACCCCCCCACAGAAGTATTTATTTACATTCTCACCAGCAATATATGAGTGCCTGTTTTTCCCAGCACCTCCAACAAAGAAATACTCAAAATCTTATTACTGTCATGTATGCTATGATCTGGCCTTGCCACCTCTCTGGTCTCCTCTCATACTGCTCACCCCTGGCTTTCTGTCCTCCAGCCTCTAGGCTTCCTTTCATCCCTCCAGAAGATCTTGGTTCCTTTTGCCAGGAATGCTCTCCCTATCTCTCTCCACTTTGTCTAGTTAACTCCTGCTCATTCGTCAACTCTCAGTTCCAGGATCACTTCTTCAGGAAAGCCTCTTTGACATCCTGGTCAGGGGACGTCCCGTTATTGTAGCCTCGGATAGAATCTTTCCTTTCCTTTAGCAGCTGTCTCAGTTTATAATTATACATGAATCAGTACTTACTTGATTAATGTCAGCTTCCTACATTAGACTGTAAGCTTCTTGAAAGCAGGGACTGTATTAACATTCAACATTTCACATAGTGCCTGGTACATAGGAGGGTGTCAATGAATAAACTGTTAAATGAAAAACTATGTGAATGAATGAATAAATGAACAAAGAGGAATAGAGCACTGAAGCTCTGGAGTCAGTTAGACAGACCTGGATTAAAATCCTGGCTTTGCCACTCATTGTGGAACCTTAAATAAGTTATTTAACCTCTTGGGCCATCAGTTCCCTCATCTGTAAAATAGTCAGCCCTCTGTATCCACAGGTGTCACATAGGTAGATTCAACCAATTGCAAATTGAAAATATTTGGGGGAAAAAATCCCAGAAAGTTCCAAAAAGCAAAACTTAAATTTGCCATGTGTCAAGCACTATACTAAATTCATGTGAATGAAGTGATGTTTAGGAATACCCTACTGTAACCTATATGCAAATATGGAATATATACAAATATTATGCCATTTCAGACAAGGGATTTGAGCATCAGAGGATTTTGGTATCTGTGGGGGTCCTGGAATCAATCCCTCACAGATAGCGAAGGATGACTGCAATGGCAATGGTACCTACCTCACAGGGCAATTGTGATGAGATAATCATGTCTCTCTCACATAATAACATTTATTATATGCTAGTATGTATTACTAATATTCTCATTAATATTAAGAATTGTTACTATGAGACCAGAATGATTTTTTTTTAAAGATTTTATTGGGAAATTGGGGTAGGGGAACAGTGTTGGGGAATTGGGAAAGGAGAACAGCCAAGTTGTTGTCCTTCAATCTTAGTTGTGAAGGGCACAGCTAGCTCAGC